AGGTTATAATTGACTAGTATGTACAACTACACTGTTTTAAAAACTTGTTTTATTATTTTGCTATTAAATAATCTAAATCTAAATTTTTCTTAAATGTTCTAAATATTTCATTATGGTATCATTCTTCTCTGATACTTATTTATTTCATTTTACACTTCAGTGTGCTTATTTCTTGAATATCAAATCTAACTTGTTTGGGTCTTCTAGTTGAGGGAATCTTGTATCAACTTCTGCTCAGGCACAGAGCTACATGACCTTAACTGAAAACCTGGGTAGTATTTGTTGATGGGATCTTGATAGCTTGTTCTTCACAAATAATGGCAGAACTTTGTACACCTATGCTACTCATCTCAGCTACGTTACTCAGTGGTGCACTCTCGTCAGTGTAATCGGTTTACTAGCCTAGTTTGTATCTAATGTTGTGATTTCTGTATCTTTAGTAACCTCTTCGTTTTTTGATGATATATCTACAACTTCATCACCCCTTGGTTTGATGTATTGGTCACGTAATTCTAGTCCATTATCAACATTTGACTTTTTATTCTTAACTTCTACTTGTGTGTATGTTTGTCTAATAGTGTCTTGTCTATCAGACAATTTTTTGTATTCATGTAGTTTAGTTTCCTTAATCTTCATTTATTAATTGATTTGTACTACTCGTGTATCTTACCATCTATCTTTTAATGGCAAAATTCACAGGATTTATTTATTTTATAAACCGTCCTTTCAATATCTTAGATAGTTTCTTGGTATTTCCTTACCAACAGAGGTGTGTAGTAAGACTTAATCTTCTGGTATAATTTCACTAATTTTTGATGTGCCTGATTTAATCTAATTTTGATTGCCCTAGTTAAGTGTTTGTTTACATTATTAATTTCTACTTGCATCCTTTGCATCACTCATGCTTTACAATCTCCATCTAATGCACAATTAACCTTAAATTGAGCTAATATTTCTTGTATTGGCAATTGACATCCTTTACTGTGTAGTAAAGAGAAAGGTCTCTCTTAATTAGTAAGTAGACCTTTTGCGGCACTTTTAAAGGCTAAAAATAATGAAATAGCCTGCTCATCCTATGTTGTTCAGTTGTACCATAATCTAATAGGGTTCTGTTAAATCTCTTGACTAATCCATCAGCAGATAAATGTTATACAGCTATCTCCATTGTATTTACACCTAATAATTTACATATTTCTTTCAGTAAGTTTGAAATAAAAATCACATCTTTATTTGTCAATAAATACTGTGGAATTTCGTGTCGACCTACAAATTGATCTACGAAAGCTTTGATCATAGTCTCTCTCTCTCTCTTATTTTGATTCAACAAGATACTTTAATATACAACAAACATACAAAGAAATCTAAATACAAGCCTCAGACTGCTACAATACTTTGGGGTTTGAAAGAATTTTGAAGCAATAAATATGCCATCTTATTGAATGAAGTTTGCTTTGCTTAAAAATGTTCAAATTCTTTGACCTCCACTTAAACAGAAAACTCAGGAAAAGCAAGGGGGTGTGCTATTCTACAAGTAGTAAATCTTAGAGATTTAATAACAGTAAACATGTATAATGGTCAACATATATTTAGGAAACCTGACAGGACATCAATAGAATCTAGATATGTGGTGAGCACTGAATACAATTGGCTATGAGTGAGGCTTAACAGAAAAGAATCCAAAACCGCTAACAATGTCAATGAGCAATGTTGTCCGAGCAAATCATACCCCCCTCTCCTGTAAGTGGTTTAGTAGCAAGATTATTGTAGTCAGTGCTACTTGGAATAAACGAAACTTACAGTTATCTGTTCACCTCAGCAGGGGAGGGGGTGACCTAGTCTGAGGGAGGATTTTTCACTGGTTCAATAAGAAGACAAGAGCTGGCGTGAACGCAAACATTTTATTCACAGGAAAATACCAGTAGAGACAAAAACTGGCCGTGATGAGTTGTTGGAACGAAAAAAATTAATGTTAAGTGAAAAATAAATTGAATACGAATCTAACAAAAGTGTTTAACAGCAATAGAATCATACTTTAGGATAATCTCGAGGTTGCTTGTATTAGTGGTTAAAAAATAAAATACAAGTGATCAGTGACTGACATTTTACTCCTAACACAAACAGACATAGACAAGTCTTCACAGCATATTCTAATTATATCTCTCCAAAAGTGGCAAAATGGCTTTTTTAGTTCACATTCTTTACATAACTGACCATCGCATCAAAAAATTCTAGGAATCTGATGATATTTCTCACCCATAGTGACAGTCATAAAATAATCTCATACTCAGGGTTATGTTGGCTACAATACAATTAGTCATGAATAGTACACACCACCTTGGAGTGAGCTCTGCTACAAAAATTTGAATGTAAATACAAACTACAGAAAAATTAGAACATGTAATATCTGCATATCACACTTCTTCTTTTCATACAGGTAAAACTCTGAAACTACCCCACGATATTCTCTTGCATAAATCATCCATTCACGATGCTGAGTCAGTTGTAATACAGACTGTGCATATTCTGTGAAAGTGACATCAGCCACGACATCTCTGTCAATAAGCTTTCATAGTACAATAGTAACAGATACAGGGATACTTGTTTTAAATAATATGGCAACAATAGTTGATTCCAATTGTTGATTTTAAACTAGCTTGACTGTTAGAGGAAAGGAGAGTAGGAATAATGTGGTAAATTCACCGAATAGAAGGAACAGGTTCCAGATATATTACTCTGAAGAAATCTGACAGATTTTTATTTTTTCTAAGAAAACCGAGAACAAGTGACAGAGAAAATATCACTTTAGAATTAACATACAAAGGGGTGAAGTCACTAGACTTTTGGCCACAAAGAATCATCATTTAACATAAGTTAAGTCTAACCTAATCAAGTGTTAAGAGGGTTGTGGTACATTAGCCCCCACCCCATCAGTTAACATGTAATTTTTTCAAAACTTCTGTATTTCAGTTCAGTTTGGATGCAGAAAGTCACTCAAGTTAACACAAAAATTTCCTTTTTCTGGTGCACACAAATGCGGATCCACTAACTGGTAATTAGCCAAGTTTTATTACACAAAAGATAGCTCGGGGGATTTTGTCTTTTCTGTTGACAAGTCAGATAATGGCCAAGGGTTACACCTCCTTGCACTTGGATCACAGTGAACAAAGGTCACATGTGTGAGGTACGGTCATGTGCAACCATGCTTTTGTTGATGTTATTTATGCTTAGTATTTAAAGACAGGTTTTCCTCTGTAGCATTAACTTTAATTTTGACACCTTTTTCTAAATTTGGCAGACTGTTTAGTTTAAGAGAACCTTTACTAATCTTGATAACTTCTACGTGATTTGGGTTTTATTTGACTAATTAGACTTTCCTTAAATTTTGATAACTTCTACGTGATTTGAGTTTTATTTGACTAATTAGACTTTCCTTAAATTTTGATAACTTCTACGTGATTTGGGTTTTATTTGACTAATTACACTTTCCTTAAAGTTTGATAACTTCTACGTGATTTGGGTTTTATTTGACTAATTAGACTTTCCCTAAAGTTTGATAACTTCTACGTGATTTGGGTTTTATTTGACTAGTTACACTTTCCTAAAGTTTTATAACTTCTACGTGATTTGGTTTTATTTGACTAGTTAGACTTTCCCTAAAGTTTGAGAACTTGTTTATGCTTTTGTTTAACTTGAACTTTTGTTACAGTTTAACTTAAATTTAACTTTGGGGGTTGTTTCATGTATGTATACTTAGTGTAACTTACAATGAACTAACAATAAAAATCTACTAAAAATTTTCCCCTCTTTTCCTACCTGTTCAACACATCCACCCAAAACACATGCACTTGTGTTTTATAATGTGTTTGTCTTTGACTTTACTTTGTTTGATAAAGATAGTTGTTGGGTATGTTTTGCGTCTCAATTCTTTCTTCACGACGAATCAGTCAGAATTCAGAGAAAAACACAAACACACTCCGCAGGATAACACCACAGGGTTAAACTTCTGAACCTAGGGAGAAAATTCTGTAAAACGATGCATCCATAGAGGGTTAGATAAGAAAGATGAAAACAAACTAACTCCTAATGTAAAAATTACTATTCAGTAAGAAGACAATAAAAAAATACAATTAACGAAGCAAAGAGAACTAGTAAGACCACGGAAACAATAGTTTCCACGCGTTACGATAATTCCTTTAATAATAAAAAACCTAATCATTCCTATTCATAAAGGCTGTGTTGTATCCTATTGTTGCCGGTATTAAACGGCCGTATAAGCTATTTTAGATGGAACATTTGAGCTACTTTAGTTCATAGAATAAAGCATTATCATATCACATAAAGAGAAACTCTGTATTCTGGATGATTTTAGAAGGTTGGTCTAGTTAAAAGCTGAAAGTATACTGAGTTCTTGTTTAGCGATTTATTATTGTTTATTTTTACCTTCTTGGTTCTTTTTCATTTGATCAGATAATAATCTTGGGTTGACTAATAATACAATTATGTTCTTGATATTTTATCGTTATAAAACTAGGTGTCGAGGAGTGATAAACAATAAAGCTTTTTCGTCAGGTTATGAAAAAAAAGAAGAATATTACACGTTCTAAAAGTGTATATAACTTAGTAGCGAAAACATAAAATGTTTCGTTCTTTCTTAGTTACCCATATAGAGCGAAGAAAGGCAACATCGTTCAAAATCATGCTTTCCATGCGATATCGACAAATAATGATTATGTTGTATTACGTATTCTATTTAAATTGCTTATCCAAAATCAATAACGAATCACAAGCCTAATTTTAGAAGAAAAAAATAAAAGAAATGTTTTCAGTTCGAGAGAATAAATACAAGGTTCTATATTAATATTAAATAATATAGCTGAAAAACAAAACCCAACTTTGTGACTTGTAATTATAATGAGCATGTTAAAATGAAATAAAGTATTAATATATTTTTCAGATCAAAGAAAAACCAACCTGTATTAAAGCTATTAATTAGTTTATTTTCATATTAATTACAATATTAATTTCTTCAATATTATAAGAACGATTGTCACAAATTTCGTTTCACTTTCGAAATTTAAGAAGTTTGGAGCTGAACTTGTTCACTCGGGCTTTTAACATAAAAAATCTATTATCGATAAATCGAAAAAGTATTTATTAACTGATGTCATAAATGTTTTTACTGTGTCATAAGCTGAGCTATTTCCATGGCAACAAACAATTATACTAACAGAGAAATTAACTTAGAAATGTTTTATCTTAGCAAAATGGCAAATAAGAACTAAAATGCAACTGTTTACTTGAAAACCTTTCATGGTACTGAAACTTAAAAAATCACAATTACTTCTCTGTAGTAACATTTATCAAATACATTACTGTAGCAGTAAGCTTTCCTGTTTTTCACCGAATCTTGCTTTGTGTTTATTCATTCAAATATTCGAAGTTACCGTTCTACTTTTAAAATATAGCAATACATATTTGAATATTGGCAACACGGTTACATTAAGAATGACAAGACGACTATCCTAAATAGGAGACATTGGCAAGCGTTAGTGAAGAGAGCATGTGGTCTAAGGAATTATTTCAGACATCTTTAATGTTTGTTTGTAAGTTAAAGAAACCCAGCTATTCCTTTGGGCATCAAATATTCTTCTTCTACAAGAAAGTACTGCTTATACAACTCAACTTTCCTTCCTCTGATAAAAATGAGACGCAGATCCACTAACTGTTTTCTTACCAAAAGATAACTCATGACATTTTGAGATACATGGCTGTCTTTTTTGTTGGCAAATCAGATAATGGCAAAGGAAGCTCGTGTGGGAGTAATCTTTACAGTAGTAGCATTTCTGAGCATTTGGAGATTTTTAGGAATCTTCAGAAGTCTTCAGATACAGTTAAACGCTGACTAAAGAAACTATATGTACGATAATAACTTTTTACGACTTCGTCAACCATTGTCTACGAAAACGATATCCATGCTACGAGTTCCTCGTGACGATTTTGGAAAAATTCTCAAAATCGGTATGGAATTGCATCGTTTTTTCTTTCTGTGACACACACACACATTGTACCAATACTAAAAGAAAAGCTGCTCCATTACTTATTCCAATAGCTGTGTACATTTCGACGCCAACTGTCTTGGAACCTGTAAAACGTTACACGAGTTAAATATTTCTGCATGTACTTACCTAATCGAATGGAAATAAATTTAAGGCCCTATGAAACTTTAGTAAGTTTTAGTTAACTCTCCCTTATCATTCGATTATTTTAAACAAAGTTTAAAATCCTATGAAACTTTACTAAGTTTTAATTAACTCTTAATTATCATTCGAATATTTTAAACAAATTTTAAGATCTTATGTTAGTGAATTTTAAAATTCAAAAGTAACTTTTAGTTAACTCTTACTTATCATTAGAATATTCTAAACAAAGAAGTTTAAAATCCTATGAAACTTTACTAAGTTTCAATTAACTCTTAATTGTCATTAGAATATTATAAACAAAGAAGTTTAAGATCCTATGAAACTTTACTAAGTTTTAATTAACTCTAATTGTCATTAGAATATTTTAAACAAAGAAGTTTAAGATCCTATGAAACGTTAGTGAGTTTTAAAATTCAAAAGTAAGTTTTAGTTGACTCTTCCTTATCATTACAATATTTTAAATAAAGAAATTTAAGATCCTATGAAACTTTACTAAGTTTTAATTAACTCTAATTATCATTAGAATATTATAAACAAAGAAGTTTAACATCCTATGAAACGTT